CCCAGCCGGCCCTCACCCAGCCCGCCCTCACCCAGCCGGCCCTCACCCAGCCGGCCCTCACCCAGCCCGCCCTCACCCAGCCGGCCCTCACCCAACCTACTCTCACCCGCGCGTTGCGGGGGGCACTTTTTCATTTCTTCACATCAAGGCTCCTGTCTTCATCTCCTCATTCCTCTTCCTTCCCAGCGTATGAACTCACTTCTCCTGCGTGAAATGAGACAAGTGCTGTGCCTTTCCGGCGCTCTCCAAGCCAGCTCCCCTTCTTGCTTCTTCCTCAGCTCTCAGCGGACAGACGGACGGCCCTTCCTCCTGATCAAGACCAGCCCTGTCCCACCACCTCTGAGGTCTCCCTCTGCTCCTCGCCCCTCCCACCCTTCTCCCTCTTTCGTTCCTTATCCTCTGTCCCGACCACACTCTTCTCATCCTCCCTGACCTGGCCTCACCCCTTCTAGCGCCATCCGCCTCCCCTGTCTTGTTCAAATAACTTGAGAGATGGATTTACACAGAGCACACATCTCATCACATCTCCCCCTTGTATGAACCCAGCTCCAGCTGTTCATTATAGAGATAAACTCCAGCTCCCCATTCAGCACCAGGCACGATCCAGCCAGCTCCCTGGCAACTGTACCATATGTCACCCGAGATCCCACTTAGTCTGATTTCCTATTTTCCAAGCAAAGTTCTCGTAGAGAATTAAGTTTCCCTGGTAAATAGGGCAGGCGAAGGCTTGCATCTCAGGCATGAGTTTTACTATTAGTAAAGTAATAAATTTTAAAGTATCAATAAACAATAAATGGGCTTCCTTCTTTGTCAGTCTCCTGGGCTGTGCTTGCATGAGTCAGTCCCGGGAGGCCAGTCCACTCTGGCTGCACTGGACCCACAAAGCCTGGACCCATGAAATAGAACTAGGTCCTCGGCCCCAGCCGTCCACGGAGGGGCTAGACGCCACACCGGAGGCTGTCGGAGGCCAGGTGTCTTTCTTCCCTGGCACCTTTGTTGTGACCGGTCAGTTTGCATGTCGTGACATGGGCTCTGCGGTCAGGAGCAGCTGAGTTCCAATCCAGCGGAGCCCTGGGACCTCGGGAGAGGCACAACGCTTTGGTTTCATTGCTTTAAGATAAAGGCAGTGACGGTTCCCTAGAGAGTGACGAAAGGGCGTCGCCCAGGCACCTGTGCCCATGCACAAGTGAGGTGTGGCCCGCTCTGCAGAGACTCACCTGAAAGCCGGCTATGGTGAGGGGCCCCCTGCAGGGCGAGCGGGCGGGGAGGAGCCAAGCGCCTGACGATCCCTTTCGATGGGCGGTGCGTGAAATTATCTGTCGTGTATTTCAGAAAACCTTGGAAGATGTATACAAGTCATGAGGATATTCGGTATGATTTTGAAGATGACCCCAAAGATAAGAAGGCGCTCAAGCCGCACCCCAACATCGACGGCGGATGGGCCTGGATGATGGTGCTCTCCTCGTTCTTGGTGCACATCCTGGTGATGGGCTCGCAGATGGCCCTGGGCGTCCTCAACGTGGAGTGGCTGCAGGAGTTCCACCAGAGCCGCGGGCTGACCGCCTGGGTCAGCTCCCTGAGCATGGGCATCACCCTGATCGTGGGTACGTGTGCTCCGGCCTGCCCCACCACACTCAGATTGTGGGAACATTAGAGAGCAGCTGTTCGTGTGTGCCATTGTGTGTGTGTGTGTGTGTGTGTGTGTGTGTGTGATGAAATCCATAACAGAGTTTGTCATTTCAACATTCTTAGGTTGACTAGCCACCGCCACCCTCCTTCTCCACAAACCGGAACTCAGAGCCCATTCAACACAACTCCCCACTACCCTCACCCCGTCCCCACAAACCTGTTAGCCTCTCTGTGAAGGGCGTCCCCCCAAAAATCTCACATAAGTGGAGTCATTCAACATTTGTCCTCGTGGATGATGTTGCATGAATGATAGTCGAACATTGATATTATTTAAAGGTGGTAAGCTTTGGGAACATTTTGAAAATTGATCACTTTAAAAACCTCTTTTGCCCCCCAAATTTCTTTTTAATTGCTATAACTGATTTTCTAGCATTTCAAAAATATCCATCTATTTCATACTTATAAATATTTTTGAAAGGTAACAATTTTAAACATGGAAAGTTAAGCGACAGTCTTATTTCCGAGTTCTAGTGGTTTTTATTTGAAGGATTGCTCATACGTTATTGAAAACATGTATTAAACTGTTTTTGGAAAGCTGCCGCTACAGCTAACAAGGAGCAATATTAGTATACCTTTGTATTTGTAGCTAAACTTCAGCACTCGACAATGTTGAGCGCCATTCTTATCCAGGTAGAGATAAGTCAGAAAGTTATCTGGAAGTTATGCATTATGGCGAGTGGATGTCAGTTTAGAAACTGAACTTTTACTGTCAGCTGATATTTAAGAAGCATCCGGGTGCTCTTGTTACATTGTTTTGTTTTATTTAAATGACTCCTAGGTGGAAATCGCCACTATGCCCTCATGTCTTTCCCTTTTTTTGCTCAAAACTAAAACCCATAATTTTACCTCTAATTTTTTTAATGTAAAGTAGTGATGATATAGTTTATTCTGGAACCATAGCAGCCTGAAATCTTTTTCTGGTTCTGTGTGTAAAGCATGTGACTGACAAGCATATGTGTCCCGGATGGGAGTCTGTGCTGTTCTGGTGATTTCCACACTGGTAATTAATTGCTTGAATTAAAGTTAGAGATGTGTTGATCTTGGCTGACATTCAGCCTGTTATTTTGGATGGTACCAGTGATGGTGCTAACGAGGAAGACAAGGACAAAGTGTTATTTCTCAAGGTATATGTAGGGTGTGTATACTTACCAAAGAGACTTACTACTGCTCTGGTCTTAAAATTAAATAAGGGCACCCTTATTCATGTGTGTGGGAACTGTTGGCAAATCATCTCGGTGGGAAACAGTAATGAATGGCCTCCTTCAACCTGCACTGGCTTGTTAAAACCAACTTGTGGAAACTTTAGGCGTTTTCCTTCAGCGTAGGGAAGGTGCTGGTTTTATGCTCGATGTTAGGAAGTTAGTGGAAGGGAAACTGCATCTTAGAATTCCTAAAATTCAGTGTTTATACTGTGGTAGCAGCAGGCACCGGGCAGGTTCACTGTGGACTCGGCAGATGGATCAAGGGGGCGTCCCGGAGACCTGGGTATGTTTTTCAGGCTTTAGCGCCTGCCCTCTTAGGGAGCCAGGTGCACAGGCTCCAGGCAGTGAGGCTGGCATGCAAGGGGGCAGGCCTAGGCGGGAGGTGGGGGATAGGCAGGAGGCAACTGAGCCTCCCAGCCCCCACGAATCTTCACATTCTCTGGTGGTCTTTTGAGTGTGGTCTCGTGGCCCCACCTCTTCGTGGCTTCACTCACTGCACTGCTGTCACAGCGCTCAGCCCAGCCCCGAGCCTCAGTGAGTTCATTTGCACACGCACCCACCCATAACCCAGGTGTCCACAGTCAGGCGCGTGAGCCCCGTGCCCATGCACCCACACTCCCAGACCCCTTCTGCATTAACATGATCAAGGCCACAGGTGATAGCCACAGAGGCCAGTGGCATAAAAAGCCCGATTCATTCATTTATCCCACACAAACCTTCTTAAAAATCCATTTGAAAGGGTAGAACAAAACACTTAGAGACTCAATCCAGGAAGTGTGTGTCTGCAACAGTAGTGAAACCCCAGTAAAAGGTTTGGATATATAACAACCCAGTATTTTCCAAACCACCCAATAAGTCTTAAATATCATTTTGTGTTTCACAAGTTCTACAGAAATAAGCCCTGCAAATCTGTGCCTCAATTCTGGGGTCTGATCTTGAAGCTGACACAAAAGCAGAACCCCTAACTCATAGCGCTGGGAACATGTAATTGTTATCTTTCCTTCTGCTGGGAGTTCACTGAGCACTGGGGTTGTTTGTGAGATCCAGAGTGCCAGACTGTAGAATTTGAGTGTAGATTCACCTTCCCACAGGAACAGTACCTGACAGATCGACCTCTTTGCTCTGGGGCTCCGAGGTCCCAGCAGAAGGCGACTCTAGTGGTCTCTGCTTTGACACACCAGGGCGTTGACAGGGGAAGAAATCTTGATGGTCCTCATCAAAAGGAGAACTTTTCCTTCTTTTCTTCTTTACTGTAGCCTCATAAGGTGGTGCATGTTAGCTGACCCTGGGCTTTCTTTGTATAGTGTTGAATGTTAATTACTTCTCCGTAAGGCTGGCACAAATGAAGACCCACCAGTCAAAGAGGAACCATAATGCAGAGAGGTTCATTCCATCAGTGAAAGGCCTTTGCATCCATCCTGACCCTGACTTGCGGTTGATTATCTTCAGCTGCCAGGTGCGGGGTGGTCGCAGATAGGCTGAGAACGTCGGCTGCTTTTCCAAGCAGGAGCTAGGCACGTCTCTCCTTTTTTTAGCAAGCATTGCATGCCAAGCACAATTGGCATGATCTCATCTGATGCTACAGCAGCAGAGAAGGCCCTCGACGCTATCTGATCAGGGAGAATGCATGATGTCCAGAGATGTTGAATAACTCAGTGGAGGCCGAAGAGCCAGGACAGTCCCTGGACTCCACGATTGTGCCCACACGAGCACTGCGAATATGCTGAAGTGAAGAGAGCAAAACTTCTCCTTTTCTACTCGCTGGAAAGCACATTTGGGTAACCCCTGTTTATTAAAATGAATAACGCCAGGACCATGCTAGAGTAGTAGACAGCCATCTCCTCTGGGGCCCTAACTTGTACGTGATGAATTCAGTCATTTCATGCTTGTGTGATCTTTGCTGACATGGGTTTGGCGGTTTCCTGCAGAAGGCCCTGATTTCCAGGAAAGTGGAACCACCTTTGTGGGTCCTGTCTCCAGCAGCCTTTCTGGATAATTCTTGGCAGAAGCCATGTCCCTCAGGGAACCCCGGGCTGTGAGGTCATCTACTCACTAGGTAGATTTGGAGCAGGGCTGTAGACCCATATCAGAACCCCCAGGGACCTTTCAGAGCCCCGGCTCTCGGGCTGTACCTGGGCGATTCGATCAGCGTCTCCCAGAAGGACCCACAGGGCAGGGTTTATTTGCAGTTGCTCAGTGACTCTGGTGTCCGGCCAAGGAGGGACTCGCTGATGCTGAGGCTCTTACTCTGCGAGGGTGAGGCCATGCTCCCAGACACCGGGGCTTCAAAGAAGTCGCTCCTGCGTCACCCATGTGCCCACAGCCCACCCACCTGGTGTCCTGCTCACCTGAACTCTTTTCAGCCTTCATGCAGGCGGAGGCAAGAAGGGATGACCTGCTGATTGTGGTCCCTGCTGCAGTGTGACAATGACGTGAGAGCAGGCACCCACAATGGGGAAGAGGACAGCGTCTGATAATGTGGCTCATTTCACCCCCAAACAGTGATGCCTCTATTAAGTGGAGGTTGTCCTCAGAGGACTGTGTCTTGGTTTTCTTTCTGTGGGGAGTTCGCTTCATTCATGGGTCCGCTCAGGGACCGAGAGTCAGCAGGGTTAACGCGAGTGAGCACAATCAGGGAGACTTTTCAGCTTGTCTGTATCAAGGTGTCCCCGTAAAAAGGCTCCTAGTTTCCTTCTTACAGTATAGCAGCCCAGAGGACTCCGTCTTGTTCTCCCTTTAGGCGCAGAGTCCCAATTCAGATGAGTACAGAGGACGGACAGGTAACGTCAATGAGGGCAGGGCCAGGTCTAAGACTGAAGGGAGGGTGGTGACTGCGGCAGAGTAGGGAGCAGGTGTCACCAGGCAACAGGCCAAGCTGCCGCACAGCTCCACTTTATTCGGGCTGTGTGGGAAGATTGCAAGGTAGCCACGGGAGTTTTTTCTTAATTGCCTTAATTTTTAATATGATTCCAACCATTTTTCAAATTTTATTCTGGGTAAACCAAATGCAGCCTAGACCCTTGAAAACCTAGAACTGTGTGTTCCATGAAATCACTGAAATTCACCTTTGCATGCTGGATGCAGCACGCAACATTTCGCGTATTATTCTCTGTCTCCACGGGAGGGTTTGCTAAGTCATGAAAATGCAACACTGATCGCCAATTCCTTCTCTCTGCTCCGTGACAGGGCCTTTCATTGGCTTGTTCATCAACACCTGTGGGTGTCGCCGGACGGCCATCATCGGGGGGCTGGTGAACTCCCTGGGCTGGGTGCTGAGTGCCTATGCTGCAAACGTGCATTATCTCTTTATCACCTTCGGAGTGGCAGCGGGTAAGCGTCCTGATGCCTCGTAACTTGATTTCGCGTCTTTATTGGGCACTTTGGGCATTGAATTGAACTGTGGAGAAACGAGACCCATTGAAATATTTTGTCTTCTTGTCTCCTCCATCCTATCCCACCCCCACCTTAGACTCCAGAGCATACTTTTTAATATAAGGTAATTAAATATGCCTAAAGGGTGGGAAAATGACCTAACAACCACCCTTGCCTCCCTAAAGGACCTGAATTAAGTTTCCCATGCCTGCTTCGAAGTGCTAGTCTTTTTTTCTTTGGAGAAACAGGAAAAGGAAGGGAATAGTCCAGCTTAAGTGAATGGACCGAATAGGAAGGAAATGATTAACTATCTCTTATGTAATAGCTGCAGGATGGCACATGAATCATGGAACAATCATCTTCTCTTTGAGCCCTGTGCAAATTAACGAGAGATCAGCAAAGCCACGGACTCTGGGCATCAGAACTAGCGCGCAGTCACGTGACCCACGAATGGCCCACTCGGGTGCCAGGTGGCATGATTAGGGGCTCCGCTCTGCCCCACTACGCTCCCAGACACAATTTCCTTTATCAACAGGTAGCCGACCTCACACAGACCAGAAGGCACATTGCACTTGCCAGTGGTATTTCAGTGAAGTAGATTGGGGTAACTCTGGCTCCAGAGCTATGATCCCTTTTTCTGTGGCTTCGTGCAACTTAATGTTCTCTTGCTTGTTTATTCCTTCCTTGTCTGCTCAACGGATAATTATGAGTGCTGGGTTTCCAGGGTTGGTGAACCAACCTACCTACCTAAACACACACACACACACACACACACACCCCTATACAACTATACTTAAATGGAAAATCCACAAGTCAGCTTATATATACAAAATGCTTTGGGGTGATCATTACTGAGACATGCTAAGGCTGGATGGTAACTTAACCCTATTGAATAGACAAAGGTTAGATACTAAGACAGACTGAAAAAAATAAGCGATATGTATGTATACCAAAGGAGCTTGACTGATGTCCTTCATTCTCAAAAGCACTTTGAGACAGATTTGTATCTTTTTTTTTAAAGATTTATTTATTTATTCATACAGTAATGGGGTACAAGCCAGAAATGCAGAGAGTGAGAGGATTCACCAGAGACAGAGCGGGAGCAGAACAGGCAGATCCACGAAGTACACTGCTGAGGGGAGCAGCAGGCGGGTCAGGAGAGGTCTGCCACGCCATGTGGTCACCTCCGGGGCAGGCGGGGATTGAACTCATGCGGAAGTGGCTTTAGCTTCTTAGTGCAGTGTTTTAACCCGCTGCGCCACCAGGGAGGGCCCCAGATTTGTATCTTTAACACCGAGGCAACTGAAAGTGCCCAGAGAATCTATCTACTAAATACCAAATTCCTGTCTGTTGGCCCATCATGCTTAGGCAAGGGAGGCCAGGCAGCCTTCTCCAGCGTTGCCAGAGCTCTGTCCTCACCTCCTGAAGACATCTTCTCCTCCATCCTTGCTGAACCTGGCCCACAGGATGCACTAATAACCCTCCAGGCCACCTGTCTCACCCAGGATGTGGGACTGTGAGCCCCTCCTGAAACCTGAGAATTGTTCCAGGGTCTGCACAGGGCTGGACATTATGGGGGCTGGGGCCTTGCCTAGCTGCTGGACTTGAGACCATGCCCCCCCCCCACCCAGGTTCTGTATTATGAGCTCATACTATTGTGCTGACTGTGGGAAACAAGTGACCTTGAAAGTGGAGGGTGGGGGGAAGCTATAGCCTCCAAAGTGCAATGGCCAGTAGAGGACAGGTCACTGTCTGGGTTCTCTTCCATGTGCACAATTGCAGGACCATTCAGTCTCAGGGAACAATGGGTTCACTTAACAAGCCAGGGGAGCAGAGAGTCCTCGAGGCCACAAGCGCTGTCCATCTCCCCCGGCTAGTGTCTAGGGGGCCTAAACCAAAGGCCACTCACCCAAGCCAGCGCGTCCTGCCAGCGAGGGCCTGGAGTGCATGGGAAGCAGCGGGCCAGGCTCACAGGCGCGGCAGCTGAGACACTGCCCCAGCCACGGTCTGAGGTAGGGACGGACAGCTCCCGATGCCGGCCCAGAGAGCAAGCAGGAAGCAGCGCGGGAGGCCATGTGGCCCATCGCCAACAGCTCTCAGAGGTGACCCAGCCCACCCGGGTGGGGGTCTCCCGTCAGCAGTAAAGGCCAGCACCGGCCAGTCGTGCCCAGACACGGGTGGTCCAGCCCCTGAGAGTTGGTGGCCCAAACCAGCCACAGACGGCCCTGTGAGGCACGAGGCCCCAGGCTGCTGCTCCTGTCAGGTAACGCCAGCATGGAGCCCATATTACTCTGAGTTAGACCAGCGTGTGCAGTTCTGAGGTTAACCGCCCTCAGAAGAAACAGGAAGTTCTATTCCTTTCTATGATTTTTCTTTAAGATTTGTTTGTTTATACAAGTGATGTTGAACATTTTTTCATATGCCTGTTGGCCATCTGCATTTCCTCTTTGGAGAAGTGTCTTTTTAGCTTTCTGCCCATTTTTTGATGGGGTTGTTCACTTTATTTTTGTTGTGTTTCACCAGCGCTTTGTAGATCTTTGTGATCAGTCCTTTATCATTAGTATTGTGTGCAAAATTTTCTCCCAATCAATGAGGTGTCTCTTTGTTTTGGTTAATGTCTCTTTTGATGTACAGAAGCTCTGTAATTTGATATACATACAAGGACTGGGATACAGGTCAGAGATGCGGGGTGAGAGGATTCACTAGAGACAAAGTGGGGAGCAGAACAGGCAGATCTATTGAAATACACTGCTGAGGGGAGTCGTGGGCAGGACAGGACAAGTCTGCTGTGCCATGTGGGTCAGCTGCCTGGCCAGGGATCGAACTCGTGCTCAGGGATTGCCTCATAGTGCTGAGACTTAACCCTTTTCTCCACCAGGGAGGTCCTCTTTCCATCTCTTTATTCTGCTGTTGGTTAGAAATCTATAACTACATTCAATTTTGGTTGTTGGTGATTGTCAGTGACAAATTAGATTTTTTTTTAAATTAAACTTATGCCTTTGGCAAACTCCAGACTATGACAGATTTCACAAGACGGATGACCCAGTTTCATCAACAAATAAGTTGCATGGGATAAAAAGAGACAGCGAAAGAATTTAGCATGCACAGCAACAAATATCAATGTGTGGACCTAATTCAGACCCTTATTTAGTTACTTTTGTAAGAACTTATCTTTATTGATTTATGCATACAAGAACTGGGGTGTATGGCCCTCCCTGGTGGTGCAGTGGGTTAAAGCGCAGAACTATGAAGCTATCCATAGTCACTCAGTCCAGGGAGGTGACCCACATGGCATGGCAGACCTCTCCTGACCTGCTTGCTGCTCCCCTCAATAGTTTTTTCAGTACATCTGCCTATTCTGCTCCCAACTCTGTCTCTGGTGAATCCTTTCACCCCCTGCACCTCTGGCCTGTACCCCAGTTCTGTATGCATAAATAAATAAATCTTAAAAAAAAACTGGGGTGTAGGCCAGTGGGGTAGGGGGGAGGGGTAAGAGGATTCAACAGAGACAGAGTGGGAAGAAGAACAGGCTGATCCACTGAAATACACTGCTGAGGGGAGCAGCAGGTGAGACTGGAGAGGTCTGCTGTGCCATGTGGGTCACTTTTGATGTACAGAAGCTCTGTAATTTGATATACATACAAGGACTGGAATATGGGTCAGAGGTACAGGGGTGAGAGGATTCACTAGAGACAAAGTGGGGAGCAGAACAGGCAGATATACAAAATACACTGAGGGGAGCCGCGGGCGGGCAAGACAAGCTCCCTGGCTAAGGAATCGAACTCGTGGTGCAGTGGCTGTGGGTGGCTTCACAGCGCTGCGCTTTAACCCCTTGCAGCACAGGGAGGGTCCAGCTGGGTGATTTTTAAGCTTACTTTGAATTTTATTTCAACTGTTAGATTCGCTCGCAGCCTGCTGTAACAGGTAGGAAGCGGCACTGATAGCGTGCTGTGACACAAGTGTATCCGCTGATATGTTTAGCGGAACAATATAGCACAGCGGGCGTGTAGCTGCTTTCTCGGAGCTGAGCCTGTGTGTGTGTACCAGACTCGGTCAGAGTCACATGGTTGCTTACGGGAAGCAGAGCCAAAGTTCTAATCCATGACTGCTGGCTTCTTTTTACTGTCAACTACTTACTATAGGGCAGTGATACAATACCACAACATCGAACATCATAGAATTTCTTGGTTCTTTAACAAATACATTTTAAAAATTGCCTCCATTTACTTATTTTGCAGCTAAATTTCTTCTACCTTAATGGTACAAATAGGAAATTAAATCTTGATTTTTGGAAGTAGTTGTTATTTCAAAATATGATCCTTTTCTTTTCCTATAGAACCTATCTTCACTTCATGCCTTGATGTATACCAGGCACTGTTCTAGGCAGAAATACATTGGTCAACAAAACAGAAAGACCCCTGCCTGCCCTCACAGAGCTTGCAGTCTAGTGAGAGGGGAAGAGAGGTCCAATCATAAGACATATACATATAATTAAGTCCTATAGGGGAATAAAGCAGAACTGGTAGCAGTTGGGACTAAGGGTGGGTGTGTAAGTCAAGATGGACTTCACTGAGGTGAGCAGAAAGGCCCAAGCTGACTTCTGGCTGAGGGGAAGAAGTTCCAGCAGACAGAACAACCAGCTTACAGAACAATAGCAGGACAAGGTCACCATCACCAAACCTCCTATCAGCCTATTAGAAATCTGAGGGGATTTTTTTTTTAAGATTTATTTATTCATACAGAACTGGGGTACAAGCCAGAAATGCAGAGGGTGAGCGGATTCACCAGAGACAGAGTGGGGAGCAGAACAGGCAGGTCGACGAACTACACTGCTGAGGGGAGAGCGGGCGGGTCAGGAGAGGTCTGCCGCGCTATGCGGTCACCTCCGGGGCAGGCGGGGATGGAACTCATGCTGAAGTGGCTTTAGCTTCTTAGTGCCGTGCTTTAACCCGCTGCGCCATCAGGGAGGGCCCAGAAATCTGAGGGGATTTTAATTTCTCCAAGGAAATCTCAAACTAGGTTTTTGCAAAAGGATCATCACTTAGCAGATGGCATATAATTGTGATATTTGACTTCAAAATTCTATTAATTTTCTCAAAAAGCATGTGGATATTCCAGATAACCAAAAGTCAGCCAACTTGACAGCCTACAGGTCTGACTTGCAGGCTGTTGATATTTTCTTTGTCCCTTTGGACGATAGGAAATTAGCGGTTTCTACCTTTGGGGGACTTAAAAGTCACAGAGGTTAATTCAGAGCTTGGCTGAAAACAAAGGCAGCCTTTGCCTTCATGCTCTGTTGCCCCAAAATGCAACTTATTGTGGTATTGCCTCTCCCTGGCCTTGACTGGAAACGTGGGCTCTGCCCACTTCTATTGCAAATCACTTGAGGTAACTGAATTGTTCTTAAAGTAAGGGGGTCCCACTCAGGGTCTGAGGACCCTTGGCTCCTGACAGTTGCTCCAAGTATCACGGCCCTGGAGTAAATAAGGGAGATGGGTCACTTCTTGGGCCTTATTTCAGAGACTCGGCTGCAGCAGCAAGCCCTAGGGAAGGAAAGTTTGGGGTCAGCGGCAGCGTGAACAGGAGAAAGGGGCCAGGCTCTGATGCTGGTTGGACCAGCCTGGATTCTCCAGTTCCCTGTGCCAGGATCTTGGGAAAATATCTGAATTTCCATGAGAATTAAACCAGTTTTTGTAACACCAGCCAGCCTGTGGGGTCATTTTAAACTCTGATCACCCAGAGTCTGTAGGGCAGCTGGCTGGTGTGGGCCAGCATTCTTGGGATTACTGCTGCATGTGTTGCGAGGGTTGCCTGAAGTCAAGGAATTCTGGAACTCTGAAATGGTGCAGGGCTGGGTTGCCTGCAGTGTTGGGGAGCTATGGCAACACCCAAGGCCCCTTTTCTTCTGTCTCCATCTTAATGTCAGGAGGTCAAAATGGGGCCCCATGCTCTCTCAAAGGGGGGCTTCTGGTTTCCCTCTGTACCTAGAAATCGAGGACATGAGCTACATCCTCTTGGCCTGTATTTCATTCACGTTTAAATAGACACAATGTATTAAAGTAGTTTTGGATTCACAGAAAATTGAACATGAAGTAGTGAGAATTCCCAATACTCCGCCCCCAACCTACACAACCTCCCTTGCATGCGTTAATGTTTTCAATGTAAATCACAAGCACTTCCAATTTCCTAAGCAGATGCAATTAAAATCAGAGCTGCAAATAAGTAGTTCGTGGCCATGACATCTAGTCACTATGCATATTTATGGAACCATTTTGATTTCATTTGTTCTTCCAATCAATTTGTAAACAAGTTTGCCCATTCCCGCCAGACCCCTGCAAATGGCCTGCAGTCCCTTTCTATCTCCATGTACAGAAAACAGAACACTTTCCGAGGCACTTAGGGTAATTATTGTGAACAGCAGCGCCCCTCAGAACCATTCATTCTTTCAGCAGATCTGGGCACTCACTGGGGGATTGGGACAGTCCCCCCACAGCCCTGTCTTCTGGGAACCTGTTCCTGGGGGAAGGATGCTGCCTCATCTGATCTGGACTAATAACAGCAAAGCCTGCTGGGAGAGAAGACGGCTAGAAACACAATGCTGGGGGGACCTGGTCTTGGGGCTTACCCAGGGCCTCCTTTTTCCAACCATTACTGCCTGCCTGTGTGTGTGTGTGTGTAAGATTTATTTATTTATTTATACAAGAGTTGGAGTGCAGGGAATGAGAAGACTCAGCAGAGACAGAACAGGGAGCAGAACAGGCGGATCTACTGAAATTCACTGCTGAGAGGTCAGCAGGAAGGCAGAAGTCTGCTGCTCCCTGTGGGTCCCTCCCTGGTGGGAGATCCAACTTGAGCGGCAGCGCACAGCGTCATAGTGCTGAGCCTAACCCCAGC